AAAAACAAGCCCAATATTTTTTGATAATTTATTATCATCGATATTATTTATCAATTATTTATTACCAATAAATGAGCCCGCAACATATTGAACAAACTACCCTTTTATCTGAAAAGCAAAAATAAGTTATTTTAGAAAAATCAGCAAACTGCAACAAAGCAGGAACAAAACTCATCTCCAACCAGCAGTCTTCCCCATGATTGTGTAGCCTAGTGAACCAAACTGAGAGGCCATTTTGAAGGCTCAGGAAACCTTTGCAGGTGTTTTGTGTTGATTAGCTGATTGGCATGTCACCATATTCTCATTTGTTGAGATAGTGAATTGGTGGGTTTTTGTTAAATGTGAGCCAAAATCATCACAATTAAAAGAACCAAAGACTTAAACTACTTCAGTCTGTGTGCATTGAATTTATTTAATACACGAGTTTCACAATTTGAGTTGAATTACTGAAATAAATGAACTTTTCCACGACATTCTAATTTATTGAGATGCACCTGTATAGGCCTACTTGTTTTGTTTTTGTTTTGTTTTACAGCCCGTGATAATTAATACATTACAAAAACGTAAAAATAAAAAATTAGGCTACCTTATAAAGGAAAAAAGTCATCCCACTCCTCTACGTCTACTTCTATCATCGCTTGGATTACAGCGTCACGCGCCTTCCTTTTGAACGTGATATTTCTTCAATCCCTCATTGAAGATAAATCACGTTCAAAAAGAAGGCGCGGAATATTTGACAAAGTATGCTACAGCACTTATATTTTTGCACTGATTGGCTATTAACTGTGAGCAGACAGAGTGTCAATCAATGCATTGGAGAATACAGTGAGCATAAATGAAAAGAAACGAAGTATTCTTTGACCATATTTTTAAAAATAAACCCAAAAAACCGCAACCAGGGATTTTTTCACGCAACTTTAAAAAAAGAAGCCCAAAGTCGCTTATAATACGCGGACATGGCAACTCTGGGCTCTAGCCCAAGCTGTGCTATAAACGAACGCTATTGGCTATTTTAAAAAGGGGCGGGGCTGCTTGATATGTCCCGCCCTGTCTTCATGTTTCAGTTAAAATGACGTCAACACAGAGTAACGCTGCATGTTGCTAAGCATTTCAGGGGGCCTTTAACTAATGAAACACTATGGTGTTGAGCAGTTTCCAGCTGGTCTTGGTGTTCAGTAATTGGATGGCTGTGAGGGTGTTTATATATAATGTTTATTTCGAGCAGGTGGCTGTTGATGCAGTCACTGCAAGCACACCACTGTTCCCAATGCCAGTCACAGCAGGCATCATACAAGTCAATGGCAGAACATCAACACAATATACAGCCTGCACACACTGAGCAGTGCAGATTTCTTTTTTCTTTTCTTTTCTTTTTTTTAAATGTCTGCAAATAGGATGGGATTGAAAACAGCTTTCATTATTAACATCTTGCACCAACAATAAGTTTGACTTCAGTGTTTTCAGAATTTCATTATTTTTCTTTTTTTTCCCCCTCTGGTATTAAAAAAGACTAAAGAAAAAAAACAAGCAAACATGACAATATGACAGAATGAGAACTTTAAAGTGGAGAAAAGTTTTAAAATGAAGATGAAGATTCACAGTGACAAACATCCAGCTATATACACAGAAGAACGGGGGGAAGGGGTGTAACAACTCAATTAACACTGGATCGACAGACACCAGGTCCTTTGACGCGATAAACATGATAAAGCTTTTATAAAAGCCATTCCCATGCCAGACATCTGCGCTCTGTCCGCAGAGCAGACCGCAACATAAAGGGATATAACTCTGAACATCTGATTGACAAAGACCGGCCGCATATCCTTTACGCATTGTTTAAACATGAAAGACCAAATAAAAAGAACTAAAGCAAGGCACATACATGTTTTAAAAAAAACATAACATTTGCTTAATATACAACTTATTTCATCTGAAGACATGAAAAAACGTATCACAAAAAGCTACCTTTAAAAAAGAAAACTGGAGTTCTAAAAAAATGACCATTTACAATTCATTTAAAATACTTTGAGCCAAGAAGACACTTTAAACGTTTATCTTAAATATTAGCAGTTTCATCAACAAGCCCTCTTGATGCTTCATCATTAAATACTTGTTGAAAACATCTATAATAATCTGTTCATAACTTAAATATTACAAATATTCTTCTGAGAACCGGGGAAGGGATTAAGCATATATGGAGCTACTTACTGAAAGTGTGTAAAGCATTGTGGGACCTACGCAACTACTTTTCTTGCTTGTGTCCCCTTCCTTTGGGCCCTGTCTTTAATTACATTTAAGATCATTTTGATACTGTGACAATTCTAATAATGAGCAGGCAGATTGTCATGGCAACAAAGATGGATGGAAGATAATGAGAGACTGCGAGTTTGCTGGCAATGAGATAATGACATTCAGAGGCTTGCAAGAGGTTCAGTTGTGACCGGTGCCGTCATAACAGCAAACTGCACTCCCACTGTAAATGAGAGAGCATGGCATCTGGAAACATCTTATGTCCACAGAGACCAAACCAAATAATTGTAAAAGCATCGCTCAGTCTACCCGCCATATATGTCCCTATAAAGTTACTCAATGTAATTCTCAGTGGATATGTTTAACCTAGATACTGCTATGTTTTTCAGAATAAGTTATGGACCATGCTTAAATGCATCTTGGACCGGAGCTCTTACTTTGGTCATTAAGGACATGTCTGTCTGGATGATATTGGGGGGAATGCAAAACAAAGCGGGCACACTATGGTACATTCACACCCTTAAACAGCCACTGAGCGATGTGCTGAGGTTAGACTGCATGCAGGCTTCCAATGGAACTACACCTGTCCAAACTCAGACCCTTAAGCTAAGAAGATTCCTTGGGTAGGTGGAAATGCTGAGCATCAAGCCACATCAACATTTGTGAAATCCTTGTTAGTTCACTACACTGTCAGTCAGTTTTAGATTCCTGTTTTATGCCACTCACACACACATTTGCAACTTCCTCACTTTGTGCTTCCTGACATCCCACCTTCTGCAAGCCGTCAACCATCAATGGACCCCTCTACATTATTCTCGCCTGTGTTTCTGAGGTCACTCGTATAGTCAAAGTCAACATAACTCTATTTACTTTCTAAATGCACGATCCTGGTCTTATTGTGAACAATTCATTCATTGCATTTTACTTAGGCCACACAGGCTATTGCATAATGCTAACCGATAGCTATTCTGGTATTCAGTGCCTATCTTCACCATATAGTCCCACTGTACATATTTTCCTTGCATATCCTGTTTTGCCTGGAAATGCATCACATCATGGAAGTAAACCAGCAATTCATGTTGACTTCATGGCCTAAACTGTATATCACCTTGCTGCAGATGACTGAAGCATGGAGATGTCCAAGGATGAGAATCACTCCTCACCAAATCAGAACACACAGGCCCTTCCTTTTCTACTGGCTTAAGGCAGTGCCTCCCACATGGACACGGGACCTTTGCTTGTGTGTTAGAAACACTGTGGCCACCTCTCATGTTAAGGCACACAGGACACTGCACACGATGAGGGCAGGTGAAGGAGGAAGGCTGTGCAGGAGCAGGAATGTATGAGTTCACACAGGCAGAAAGTGAATGGAAACATAAAAGGTCACAACAGCACAGAGCGGGAGCCCAGAGCAAGCACAGAGCAGGGGGTGAAACAGCCACTTCAGTCACTTCACTACATTCAACACAGCCCACAGCACTCTTCAGCAGAGCACAGCCAAACATACAGATTTTTTTTTTTTACTTCAATATAGTCATAGAAAAATCCACATATCTGTCTTCATAGATTTCTTAATGTTTCAACACTGTCTGTACCATTGAACATGAAATAAAAACATAAAATATTTATATTTATTTATATTTATATATATATATAACTGTACTGATGCATGACTCTCACTATGAGATTTTTTTCTTTATAGATACAAACTTTCCTCATGCTTACAATATACACATACCATACTATTATTTCATATACAGTTATTATTGTTTTCATATTATTTTACTACTCATTGCTCATAGTAGATAGAGATATTCCATGGACGGAGAGTTGAGCTTTATGTATTAAAACCCAACATCTGCTCTCCACCCTCTGCTCTGTCTTTGATGTTTAAAGCCCTGGATGGCCTTCTGCCCAGTCCTGAGGTACATCAGCTCGGGTTTGTGCAAACCAACTCGGAGGGAGAGAGGAGAGATAGGTGTTTCATGGCGATGGGGAAAGGGGAGGAGAAAAGAGGGGTGAGAGGAGCCAGGGTTGAGGATTAGGAAGGGATAGGTGGTATGTTGTTGGTCATTGTGCCCTTGTGCTCTCCCGGGGCCCTGAGGTTGTGCCACAGAGACACAGGTTGTGCTCTTCACTCCAGCATGGCATCCAGCTGGTCGGCCAGGTCATCGAACATGCTGCCGATGTCGTCTAGGATGCTCACTGTGCTCTTGTTTTCAGCCAATGAGCTGTGGATCAAAACACACACTTAAATCTGATTTAGAAATGTAAAAAAAAATGGCTGCAATGGCACAAATATATTTCTTTGGTCAACACATCCCCAGTGGTGAATTTAAGAGAAAGGTTCAAAAGCTTAAAAAAAAAAGATTTGCCCTTAATTATAACATTTGGTTACAGGCATTTTTAAAAATCTAAAATATTTAAATTACTATAGTATTTTGGTACCATCACTCGCTGTACTCAACCTGATGGTGAAAACATGCTTAAAGTCTTTGCTTCTTAATAACCACAAATGTGGACTCAAAACTGCTGCCTTGATTTGAAGGACTTGTGACTAGAAAAATACTAGAAACTACTTGAAATTAAATGTTAATGTGAGACTAGAAGCCATCATAGACTAGATTCTTACCGGTCTATAAATGCCACTGAAAACAGTTTTTGCATATTTCATGACACTCACTCTTTTTGCCCATCCTCCTTGATCTTCTCTTCTACAGCCTGCAGGGCTGCAGCCAGTGAGGCACTGGTCTCCTCTATCTTCTGGTGCACTGCATCTACTGTCACTACCCCTGCAACAAACGCTGATCCAGCAGAACTGTCCATGGACACCCCACTGATTGAAGAGCGAGGGGGCTTCACAGGTGGTGGTGTAGGGATGGGGGTTGGGGGACCTGATGTCTGGGGAGTTTGGGGTGTCTGTGGGGTTTGGGGTGTTTGAGGTGTCTGTGGGGTGTGAGGAGACTGGGGTGTGTGTGGAGTCTGCGCACTCAAGGCTGGTGGGGTTGTAGCTTTGACAGGGGGGTTGTTCTGAGCAGAAGCTGTGCTGTCCATTCTGGTGACAGTCTGCTTGGCTGGAGAGGGCGTGGGAGTGGGATTAGTTGTCGCATTTAAAGACTGCAGAACATTTTTGGATGGTTTGGGAGCTGTGGGAGGAGGTGTAGGTTTCGGTGAAATTGGAGGAGGTACTTTCTTTCCTTCAACTGTAAATAGAAGAAAAATAGATAGGGAGAGAGATGGGAAAAGAGACTGAGCAGAATTTGATGCAACAAGGTCTAAATGCTACAGGGTTTTACGGGATACTCACATAATTGTGTAAAGACAGGGCAAGTGAAAGGGCCGCACTGTGTAGTACCTGGGCTGCCAGGTGCCCCAGTTGGTCCAGGAAATGGGGCTTTCTTGGTGATGGCAGCTGGTGGTCCTTGTTTCTTCATGTGCTGGGCCAGAACTGGTTTGGGGGACACCGGAGGTTTGACGGACCTACGAGGGGCACTCTCAGTAACATGGCCTTCCAGGTCTGCACTGTCCCGACGGGGTGAGTTCTCAGGATGTTCCTGTGGCCTGGGCTGTTCTGAAACAGTCACTTCTGAAACAGGGCGCCTTTTAATGGTGCCAGTCCCATTCTCAAATGGTACGGGCATCTGCCCATCCTGAAGTTCTTCTGTATCTTTGTCTTTGCTCTTGGGGCGGCGCTTAACCGTATTTGACTCTGTGAGATGGAACTTGGTGCCATTTGGTTGCTGCTTGGTGCTCTGGACCATCCTTTTCAGCGAGGCTGTGGCATCCACATGTGAAGGGTTCTCCTGGGGTAAAGAGTATGACATTTCTAGTCCCTCCTCAGTCTCATCTTTGCCCTGTCTAGGTCTTTGATTGATGGTGATGTTTCCATCCTCAGCAAATGGAAGGTTCTCTGCTGAGCTCCCACTAGATCTTGGCTGGGTTTCATTGCGTTGTCTATCCTGGACTGGCTCTGGCGATTCGCCTACAGATTAAATGCAAATAAAAACAAATTAACATATGTATGTGTTTGTGTGTGTGTGTGTGTGTGTGTGTGTGTGTGTGCGTGCGTGCATATGTGTGGTTGTACGTTAAACTCACCGGTTTTTTGTCAGACAGCCACTCATTAACAGTGATCTTATTGATCTCTGAAGATATCTTCTTTCGATGTCCTGGTTTGGTTACTCCAATAGCTGTTAAATCCTGAAAATAAATATAGGAGCCCCTAAACCAGCCAATCACATTTCAGCACCCAATGATCAAGAGCTTCATGCACACATACACACACACACTGAACCAAGTGGCATATATTTTGTGCATTTGAACATATACACAAAAATGCACAATATTATATATACACAAAATTACATATACACATAAAAGATAAAACATCAGACATATTAAACACTCTGATTCCCAAAAGATGCCAGGATGACAGAAGCAGATGCAAAATGAAGAAAAAAAAATGGGAAAGGGAAAAAAATTAAATAATATTGTAACAAGTGAGGAAAATAAGCCTTTTCAGAGTACCCCAAACATAACTAAATAAACATATCCTAGTTGATCATGTCCTCAGTGTTTCAACAGTACACCCCTGTTAATTCTGCTTTCAGCAATGACACTATGTAAATCCTATGAAGTCAGTGGTTTAATGTAATTAAGTATGGGTAGATGAGCTTGCTTTCAGGAATTCAAATTGCTCAAACAATTAATTTCAGGTTTAGTAACAATTTTGATTTAGCAACAGATTTACACCATAATATACATGAAATGACCGTTAATACTTCTACTACAAAATATGATATATGTTCATGAGATATATGTTTAAAATGCTTTCGAGTTTAATCATATACATAAAATTACATAGCTCACAACAGCATATATATTAATCACAACATACGCTTAAGTAATTATGTGATTCATCAAGATACCAACATAACATAACACATTTGACAACCAAGACAACAGCACTATCTGGGGGATTTTCTTGGTGAGATTTTCCAACTTGCCGTGGGCAAAATTCAAACTCTCACAAAACCTGTGAGCTTCTGGCACATTGGTAGCAATTTTATTTTAAATTTTGAGGAGAATTTGTTGGTTGATTCGCTTCTTTTCTGTGCTTTGAGTGGGTCTGTGGGTGTTACATTTAGGGTAGAGGGGAGTGATGTGAATAGTTTAGAGTGGCTTAAGGGGATGGGGGGGACAACTCTTACCTCTGGGGTCATTCGGCTAATGGTAGGAATATCATAGCCGGTGCTGATGAAGTTTGGAGCGTAGACCTGCAGCTGAAATTCACTCAGCCATTCGATAACAGCCTCTGAGCTCTAGAAGAGAAGATGGGTGGCAGTCTATCATTGTTTGGGTCCTGTGGCTGAAAATGGACCAGACCCCAGGCCAACAAACTGAAAACATTAGTCTCAGTGACCAATGTCTCAACATCCCAAAACTTTATTAGTTCATAAATAATTAAAACCTGCCCCTACTTCTTTTTTTTGTATTATACTGGAGTTAAAATTATTACTCTTGGTCCAGGTACCTGCTCTAGCAACAAAAGTCAAAGCTTTAGCAAACAAAGGCTTTTCTTCATGAACCAAACAGTTCAGCTTAAAAAAATGTAGTGTCCATATATTATCTGCTTTGGAATGCCATTTCCCTGGAGGTAGGAGGATGTACTGTAACTCTATGTAGGAGAGGCAAAAATGGACGTGGGCAGCAAAGAAAATAGGGCTGTTTTGAACAGATGGCCCTCAGTCCAGAAGTCCAGCATGGAGTAGCTCTATTCAACAGCTCCAAAGTCCTGCTGAGGAAGATATGGTAGCCAAATTTCTCTGTTATATGACTAAACAGTGTAATTTCTAATTTCAGCTCATTATAAAAATGACATAAAAATGGTGTGTCAAATATGTATTACCAATTTGCAACATACAAGCTCATTTATGGGATAAAGGATAATAACACCTAGACAGTGTCATATTCATATTGTGTTGGTATACCTTTCTAGAAAATACCAGCGTCATAGTCTCATATCCTCTACAGTTGTATCTGTTCTACAAGTGTGTCAAGTCTATCTCAGTGTGGACAGACTAAATCTTGATCATATGCCAATTACTATATCACCTCTAAAATACACTCCGAATTCAAATCAAAAGTCTACATTTTTGGGTACTCTCTGAAAAGAAAACAAAGGTGAAATTTATTGCAAATAAGGCAAAAAAATTGGAATGGACTTCAAAATGTAGCAAAGAAAATGAAATGAATGATCAGAAAAGATCAGAGAGAAAGGAGTCGCTGCCAATATTAGACAGTAATATCAGATAGAGCAGTTGACAAAAGCCTGAAGCTGAGGACAGCGTGCAAGGAAGCCTGCGGGGAAGCCCACTCACCGTGTCCTGACGACAACCGAGAGCACATAATACTGATGATGCCAGCTGTGAGAGGAAGTCCTGGGAAAGCATCCTGGATGTGCAGATGCCAGTGCATGCATGCGTATGTGTGCGTAAAAAAAGTGTATGCTTGTTTGAGGGAAAGGTATGGGGACAGTGTGATTCAAGCGGGAGTAGGAGTCTCCTTACCTTCCCCTCAGGCAGCGCCTCCCCTTTCCTCTGGGACACCGCATCCCCATACGGCTGCTCATGAAGTGGACAGCTTGATATACTCTGACTGCGTGAGGAGGGTCCTAGAAGAACCATGAGATCATTCATATACATCAGAGCACTGCTATTGCACAAACCAATCCCTTTTGTGTTTTCTGACCAAGTACTCCTCTTAGCCAATCAGATCTTTGTGATGCTCCCACCCACAGCTATTAGTGCAACCATCTGGCACAGAAAAAGCAGCCAAATCTCTAATTTGTGAAAAAAAATGGTAAAACATTTTGGATGGAGAAACTTCTTTATGACAAAAGATTCTCGGTATGATTTCTTCTCAAAAGAGTTGTTTGAAATTCCCACTAACCCTTGTTGCTGGAAGCGTGAGAGGGGTGGTCCAAAGACTTGGTCTGCTCCAGCAGGTTTTCTTTAGCTTTGGCAGACTGGGACAAAACCGTGGCCAGAAGCTACAGGATAAACAAAGCTCATCAGATCAAGAAATGACATGAAAATATCATCAATGCTGACTATGCCAATTGGACTTAATGTTCACCCCCCTTGTGTTCAACGTTGAAGAATGAAGATTTACAAAAATGTCCCTCCAGAAAATTTAGGTAAAATCAGCATCTCATGGTAACTGTTTGAAGCTCATCATTTTATTGGTCAGTATCAGGGCAAAGCTGGCTTAGGTGGACTACCAGCTATTGGGGTTGAGGTCAACGTTGTAAACCATCTTGATCAATCTGGTTAGGACTCGCAGAGACCAGCTTCTGATATTGTTGGTTCTACATGGGTTCTAGCTGGTAATTTAAGGTGATCAGCTGGTCCAGGCAAGTTTCATTGGACTGCCAGCTTGTAGGATCAAAATCAAATTTCCAGAGAATTTTGGTCAACCTTGCTAAGGCTGGTACACCAGCTTCTGATATTGGTTTTACTGGTTTTACATGTTACCTAACTTGCCATTTAAGGTGATTAGCTGGTCCTAGCAGGTTTAGTTGGACTGCCAGCTTGTCGGGTCAAGGTGGGCCTTGTAGATCATAGTAATTTGGTAGACCAGTTTCTGATATTGCTAGTTTTACATGGTTTCTAGCTGGCTGAAGCTGGTCATTTAAGGTGATTAGCTGTTCCCAATGGGTTTAGTTAGACTGTAAGCTTGTAGGGTCACGGTTGACCTTGTAGACCATCTAGGTCAACCTTATTACGGCTGGCAGAACAGCTTCTACAAGTAGCTGATTTAAAATGTTTTCTAGCTAGTTCATGCTCATTATTTATGATTATTTAGGTCATTGGCTGACATGACATGACTGCTCATATTGGCGCATTGTGACCTGTTTTTTTTAGTCATTTGAGATTGTAATAGACACAGTAATATTGGCAATAGAACAAAGACACTTCTAACCATTTAAACCAGCAACATATAAAACAGTTCTTTCAGGTATCTTCTCAAACCACATTGGAGTTGAGTCACTTTGCATGTCAGATAGCTTACCTTGACTCCCTCTGCCTGTGCATGAAGGATAGTGCTGCTGCCTGCACTCTGTCCACTACCAGAGGATCTGGCACTGGCCACGCTGCCTGAACTACCCACACTGCTGCGGTCTCCACCTGGAACAACAAGCCCCCAGCAAACACACACACACAAACACCGTCAGCCCAGTCGGAAAACACCTCCCCGAAACCCTCCAATCACACCACTATGAACTTCCCCTCTGCAATGCACTGATCTGATACACGGGATGACAGAGACTTACATAACAATGGTGACCAAAGACCAGGTGACTGATGGACACAAGACATGTTACCAGAGTCACTAATACGAACACATTCAGGCCCACGCTGCCTTCACTGAAAATGCAGTTTGCACACACGGCTACAGACACATCTGTGGATTGTCTGTATGTTCTTGAGGGAACGACTTAACGGATGTTGCTCTAACAGAGTGAATGAGAGCCTTTCAATGCGCCTACACGCCTGCAGTTGAGGAGGTTTCTGAGGTCAGGCGTACAGCAGCTGCACCTGGAGCGTGGCAAAGCAGGGGGAATTATGAGAGACGAAGAAGTGGAGGAGGAAGAAGGGGCAGCCCTGCTGTTACCTGCCACAGGTTTGCGCAGCACCCAGATCTCCTCGCTGCTGCTGCCCTGGGGACCACCAGCTGGGGTGGGTGAGCCATGTGGACTGGACTCTGAGCCGCGAGAACCTTTAACACAGAAACCACCATTAACTGTGCCCTGGCTTGGCCACCTGCCTGGGATCAGAAGTTTTCTGGACAGGTCAGGCATGGACAGCTAAACTATGTCTATGCGCTTTAGCAGTCTGCTTGACTACGACTCTCTCTTTCCCTTTCAAACACACACAAGGCAAGCACGCATATATATATACTGTATATCTAACACAAATATATATGAACATTTATATACAGAGGTACATGAAATATAAAAGAGTAAACATGTACTGTATATATGTGTATATACATATATATATGCCTTGGTTTACACATACACATTGGTAAAACATATATAATATATACAGATATATATGATTATATATGTAAATAGGTATCACAACAAAAGGTGTTGCAGTGCATTACAGGAGCATAGTTCATTAGGATTCTAAAGCCATCAAACCATAAGTGTACATTAATGTGTTCATATACAAATAAAAATGCAATAACATCTTACGGCAGCTGTCTATAATCATTGAAGAGTCTTACAAGAATGAAAAAATATATATTGTTAAAGGGAAAGTTTACCCTAAAATTGTAACTCTGTCATCATTTATTCACCCTCATGTCTTTTTTGTGAACACAAAATAAGAATATTTTTAAAACTGTTTTTGTCCATACAATGAAAGTCACTGCCACCCTATTTGATTTGGACCCCATTGACTCATTGGACCATTTTACAGAATCTTGTTTTGTGTTTCACAGAAGAAAGTCAGTCATATAGGTTTGAAATTACATGAGGGTGAATAATGAACATTTTTCATTTCTGGGTAAATATTCCTTTAGGGTTTATTTCAAAATGACCAGGCCCAGACAGAATGTGCAGATTTGTTTGCCATTTTACAGAAAACAATCAGCATGATTCTTCATAATGGATTTAAACATGGTGTTAAAACTTTTATTGGTAGCTGAAAGCATATTCAGATTGGCTGTGGTCACCATTCAAATTCTGTTCTGAGGGCACAGATTCCACGTGGGCCTGATGACTATTGATCATTTACAACTGAAACAGACAAACATATTCAAATGTACGACGATCCAGAGTACGTAAGAGTACCAACATGCTCCATACCAATATCAAAGTTTGGTTTGATACACAATCGCTGAAAGGATCAGAGTTAGTATATGAATGGACAGATCAGTACAGTTGAGACGAAGGAGAGATGAAACAGACAGATGTTCATTGACGGCACACACACAGACTGATGTTGTGCAGAGATGCAGGTATGGAGGGGTGAAAGGCTGACTGTGCATTCCCTGTTGGTCACGTGTAAAAGAGAGAAAGACTGAAGGGGGCAGTGGAACGAATCCCAGGTGTGGTCATCACAGAGAGGGAAAATGTAGCACCAAGATCAGGGAAATTAAGGGGTAAAAGAGGAGAGATAACAGCTTCAACAAAGAGAGGCCATGAATCTCTTTTGTGCTGGTTAAAAGAACTTACTAGCCAAATCTTGGTCATTCTTTGTTTCTAAAAAAACAAACAAATCAACACCCAAAATAATGTCAGAAAAAAAGAAACATAAATGAGGAAATAATAATTTTCAGAAAAATAAATTCAGAAAAATTTAAGGAATTATTGGAACTAATTGATTAGTTAATATTCAGACTATTAAAATGAGAACTACTGTAATTTAACACATTCCTTAAATCTTTGTGAATAATAATAATAATAATAATAATAATACAGTGGAGACAGATTAGGGGATCTGTACCTTGTCCACTGTGCGGCTCTCCTGAGGTTTTTGGGGACCTGCTATAGCCAAAGGAAGTGAAAAGTGGCAGATGGGAATGTGGTGGCGGAGGTGGAGGAGGCGGCAGGATATGAATCTCATGATACGAGTCCCCATTCACCATGGCAACGGCGGGCGACACAGGGCCGCACACCGGCACACAGAGCTGTATCTTTTGATACTGTTGGGTACAAGTGACTGTACTCCATGAACCTAGATACGACAACACAGCAACCACCACCACCACCACAACAAACAAAACAATGACAAATAAGAGAAGGAAAGTAAATTAACCCAACACAAAAATCACAACCAATCACAAAATTCAAAACAGCAAAACCATAAAAGACAAATCAAAAGGAAGAAAATGCTTTTATATTTCGAGCTGTTCAGTGTGAATGGATGTAACTATATCGTCAACATGTCGATTGATATTTTATGTGTGTACACTCAAAATATACATATATATATGAAATAGAAGCGATGCATGGAAATGCAAGGTTAGTGCATGAATTGGAGAGGAGATGGTGCTTGTAGTGAAATGCAAAGTCTTTCTTTATACTTGTTTGTGTAAGTCCCTGAGGACAAACAGAATGATCTTCTCAAATGAGAAGTTTAGTATGCATGACTCTTTTCAGTTAGTCTGTGTGTGGGTGGGTGTGCAATTTGACTATTTATGATCACTGTGAGCACAGCAGGACTTAGTAGAGGGCTTGTCTGAATTGAGAACGGTCCTCCTTTCACTAATTACATAAATATAACAGACATTACTCCAGTTACAATATTTTTTATAAAACTGCAATTTCAGTAAATAAGGGACTATAAGAATGTCCCTTAAGGATTTTAAATATTTTAAAAAGCACAATGGCATAAATAGTGGGGCAAAAACATGGATGGAGTGGAGGAGACACAGAAATGCACAGAGCAGCAGATGCAGACACAGAAATGGATACTTAGTGAAGCATGAGACACAATGAACACATAGATTAGTTCCCTGCTGTCATTCCCAAACAAAGCCATAGACTGGACATAAACCCGCTGGATGGAAAGAGAGCACTTTATGGACCGTATAAATCTGCACGGGTGCACAGAAAAGTCTTCTGATGCCCAATGATTCTTCCTATGAGTGATACACTAAAAACGTTTTTAAGGTCAGGTTTAACGGGTCTTCTTCTCTTCAAAACTGCAATTTCAGTAAATAAGGGACTATAAGAATGTCCCTTAAGGATTTTAAATATTTTAAAAAGCACAATGGCATAAATAGTGGGGCAAAAACATGGATGGAGTGGAGGAGACACAGAAATGCACAGAGCAGCAGATGCAGACACAGAAATGGATACTTAGTGAAGCATGAGACACAATGAACACATAGATTAGTTCCCTGCTGTCATTCCCAAACAAAGCCATAGACTGGACATAAACCCGCTGGATGGAAAGAGAGCACTTTATGGACCGTATAAATCTGCACAGGTGCACAGAAAAGTCTTCTGATGCCCAATGATTCTTCCTATGAGTGATACACTAAAAACGTTTTTAAGGTCAGGTTTAACGGGTCTTCTTCTCTTCTCCTCTTCTTCTCTCTTCTCTTATCCTCTCTTCTCTTCTCCTCTTCTTCTCTATTCTCTTCTGATAATTAACACCATCAGCCTCAAAAATAGGTTCTCTAGCATGGATGGAGAGGTACTTATTTGCCAATGTGAACAAAGATGAAGATCTAGATGCCCCAAGTGTTACAAAGTATTGCATACAAGTGTCTATTAAATTCCAGTCCAGCAGAGGGCGCAATCCACTGAGTTCTGCTGTTCCGTCAATATCTGAATGAAGACGTAGCCACTATTTAAGGCACTATAATCACCAGAGATTCCCTTTTGACAGCATAAAATACTATATAAACTGAGCATTATGAGATGAGAAAAGAGCTGAAGATGCTCCACATTTGCCCTGGTTTTGATGCCACAAAAGCACTGGCTCTCAATCCAGTGCACATGAGCAGCATGAGCAGCTGGCTGTAAACAGAATCAGGGTCATGTGAGTTTATCAGCATTACTAATGCATCTGTGAGTGTGTGAGGTCTCAGTAAGAGGCAGCACTGACCCGCCTGTTGTCCTCTCTTACCCGCAGCCCCAGGCCTCTTACTGATCATTTCCACCAAGCTGGAGGGGAAGTAGCCCACTCTGTCATTTCCTGTGCGGTTATCATGGATGCAGCCCTTCCACCTTCCGTCTGAATGTTGCTCCAGAACCTACATGAGTAATGAATCATCATTATCTGTCATCTACTGTATAATAATGGCAATATACATCATCTGGACATCTGGATCTTCGTAGTTATTTTCATTTAAAGTCTCATGTTTATTAACCAGTGACAGAAATATTGAAAATCTAGAACATTCCAAATACTAAAATGCAAATACTATAGAGGAAGAAGAGATCATGTAGTAAGGAGCCGATGCACTTATTTAAATAATTTTTGAAAATCTGGGGGGAAACATAGGCAACAGCACCCTCTGTTAACAAATTCCGAAAGTACACTGAACTATCTTCTATTACTACAAAGGATTCATTTGGAATTTCTAATGCAGTCAAAATTGACTTGAGACATTCCATGTGAATTTTTAAAAATGTCTACATATTTAACACAGTTTGAATTTTAATAATGCATGAGAGTAAAACAAACTGACTTCAAATTAACATCAAATATTCAACATTTGTTTTAGTGCAGGTCTTGCTGAATGAATATTACCGTGATGACATCTCCAGCCTTTATGTTAAGGCTAGTCAGGTCGTAATTGTTACAGTAGTCCTTCAGTGCCCTGACCTGCAAGGCTGCTGAGGCATCTGCATTGAGATATAAATGGCATAAGCTACTACACATCACATATAAACAATCATATAAACAACATGCATAAATATGAGACATATATTTACCCCTTTTCTTACCTCGCAGCATCTGCTTGATCTCTCGGCTGGCCTGTGTAGCAGTGAACTGGTAGACGATGTCCAGCGCTGTCTGGCTGTATGTGTTTCTCACTGTTGCATTGATGCCACTCTGTAGGGTGAAAGTTAAAGCAATATTTGATCATGTTTGGGATCCCGTGTACTAACATGGGAGATATGTTTCTTATATGAAGAGATATGAAGCTTGATCTTTTTACTTCCCATTTAGAAAGAGGTTGTATGAGAAAACAGACCAGTCTGGTCTACTCTGTCTGGCCACTTCCAAGCAATTCACTATTCAAAATAATTCAAACCTAAAAGCCAAAACCTGGTGGAAATCACCATATCATTGAAACTGCTAGTTTGAACCTAAATGGGTGGTCTGTTTGCTAGAGAAGTTGGTTTATGACAATTATGTACACTGAAGTATAACAGTCAGTTATGTTCTTAATACAATCGATGTTATCACAAACAGTATGGGTTGATCAGTCAGTCAGTTAATTAAATGTTGGTGCTTTTTCTCAATTTTAAATGATTGTTTTTATTTAGTCTCCATGTTGCTGCTGTACATGCCACTAAATTCCCTTCAAGGATCAATAAAAGTTTCTCTGTCTGCTTACATCCAGCAGGAGGCGCACCACATCAGTCTTCCCACACAGCGCAGCCTCATGGAGGGCAGTGCCCGCTTTGGTCTGCCTGTTGATGTCGATCCCAGCCTGGATCAGCAATCTATTAAGAGAGGACAAAATTAGTAACTAGTTTGACTCAACCACTGAAAGCCACTGTGATCAAACTGCTTAGACCAGAATTCATGCCTAGATTTTCATTTTCAATAAACTTGTTGCTGTTTGATGCGAAACCAGCTGGATGTGCTGTACATTATTCTGCTTATTACACAGCTACTTACAAAATAAATAAACAAATATAAATTATTGAAGTTATTGGATTCTTTTATTACATGAGGAAAAAAAAGAAAGAAACCAGAGTAGTAAAAGAGACAGTGTATGAGATTGGGTGCCAAGTAGAATATGCACTTTAGTGTCATCATACACCACAGGATGCCACATCTGACCAATTAGAATCAAGTATTCCAGAGAGCCAATTAATTAGGTGTAGAGTAAGATACGGTAAGATGATTTAGTATTTTAAATAATGTACTATATATATTAATAAAAATTACATCAAAATTAATGTATACATTCTTAAAAGTTTACCTGGGGTGGCTTCTTGCCCCAGGTTATGCTATGAGAACTAAATTAACAAATATTTCTATTTATTTCCCATTATAACACATTGGCTGATGCATCATCATCTTGCACATGCTAAACTCATTTCTAATTATGGTACAATGTAAAAATAAATGAGTGTCTTCCCCATCTTATCCTTTCATTGTATATTAATCTTAAGCACTGCAAAACAGCCCAAAAATACCCAATCAGCCTCCCGATGACTGAACGGCCTCTATTAGATAGAGCATGACCTTCTGACACTAGAGTAAATTCAATTACGGCAGCAGGACTTCAGCAAACACAGGTGGCCTGAGTCATGGCTATAGAGAGGAGGATGGGAAACTGGGTGAGAGAACTTGGACCTGGTCCCCCAATAATTAGCTGCCAAAATGACCAGTTTTAGCTTCACATAACGCCCTCTCGTGCTCGACCTCTTTTGGAAAATGCAGCAGATTAAATAACATATTGACTGGTCGGGTGTGCGCACATTGTGTGCTGAGCCGTCACTTTGCATTGGTCACATTGGAAAAATTGTGTTTCTGCTAGTGGGCAAATGGCCACATTCATCTGTGTTAATTAAAGGTATGAGAGTGTTAACACACGTACATGACACTGAGTTTAGGAGACAGCATTTTAATATAAAGGTAACAGCTTTGGTTAGAGGTGCCATGATCCATTTCTTTCACAGATATGAACAACAAATGAAGCCTGCTTTCATATTTTCCCCTCATTGCATCAATCTATTTAGGGCCGGCCAATGCGTACTGCCTTTGGGGTTACTGGATTAATGATGTAATTAACAGCCTTGCAATAGCCCGCACTCTGTTGCTGTAACCTGCACATTCACGTGGCCTATAATTAGCTCCTGGCTGATCAGAGCTGGACTTGTGCTGGATTGGAGAGAAAGAGAGATGTGGGTGCTGTGTGGGCACATGTAACAGTCTTATTCTAATGTGCGACACAGCAACACTTACAATCCAGGCAGGCTAATTAATGATGAGTGTCAAATGTGCAGTGATAGACCTGGTGATCACATGGAGATGTTTGAGCTCCCTTTATACTCTTTATGAGACACTGATCAATCTAGTACCAAATAGCCTGTCATTTTATATTTTGTACTGTTCTTCAAGGTATGGAAATCAAGAATTCATGTCACCAAGGTTAATAGCTCAAAAACAGATCACTGAGGAGTCTAATCCAGCATGCAAGACGATAAAATGAAAATTTAAATTTGTATTTATTTATATTATTATAGAATATTAATGATACTATATTTTGCGATACAGAAGGATACAGCAAGATAAACTCTGGAACTAACATTTTTTGCATGTTATTTTAAAGTCAGAACTTTTCTTTTAATTGCACACAACATTCAGCACTTAAGTGAACAATTTGTTCCTGGACAACTTTGAGTTTGAGTCTCTCGTGGTAATAAACAGTGCTCACATCTTCATACTGCATGCCTTTTAGACATAATACTGATTGGATGATGAAGTTTGACTGAGTAATTTAAATAAGTAATCAAAATTCAGTTTCTTTTTTTAGATCAAACCTTGTGTAAAATAAAGCAGTCATAGTTAGTGGTTATCAATTGCATCTATAGGCCCTATATGACAAAGTTAACATACTGTATATTTTATGCACATCAAAAAAATGTTTTTTAAGGTTTTAGTTTTCCTTAATTACAATGACCCTGGTAAGCACTCTCTATGGGTACACCAAGGTTAAACAAAATAAAGCCCAGCATAAAGTGATATTTACACTAAGCCGGCCCTTGACCTAAAAACAGTTTGACACCTTTGCACTAAAATAAACACTGACAAACAGTCACATGTTACAACTTGACACCAAGTATCGATCCTTATTGGCAACTGCACTGGTAGTCCTGTTAGCTACAGGGCTTGAGACTGAGCATATCCATGTATCATCATAATCATAATAACCAGAGGGTTGAAATTAAAAAAGCAGACAATACAATACAATTAGTTATATATATATATATATATATATATATATATATATATCAAATATGGAAAATTGGGTGTGTTATATGATGCATTGATTAATGTGCCAGTCTTATTGTTGTCCAATAAAATGTCTGATGTGCAGTGTAGCATTAGGATGGTACAAAGGCAGGACAGTGCAGAACACTTCTGATCTTCCTCTCATCTATGTCTGATAATGAAGGAGGTCTGGCTCTGGCTGTCACAATGATGGATGGCAGTGTGTTGTATTAGGGAGTGGATGGGGCCTGGCAAACCCAGAGGAATATGGCTGGGGATGGGCACACTCAACCATGCTCATGTTCCCAGTGGAAAGAAGGGAAGATGCCCTTCATCACAAGCAGGTACAGCTGTCTGTGCGCAGATACAGCAGGTGATGCTGAGGACATGGCTTATCCAGTGTCTGACTCGCTTGCGCTTGTATGTCATTGTATGAAATGCATGAAATGCATGGCTGAGCCGAGATCTGGAACGATAGATTTCTCGTCAAATGTAAATAGTTGCATGAGGCTCTGGCCATTTGTATGATAATGCAGTGGGAAGTTACATGATTACTGAATTATAGCTCATCAAAGAGCCGATCTCTGAGCTCCAGGCCAGTTCTGATAATACTCAGATCTCATAACGGATGGGGCCTGGCAAACCCAGAGGAATATGGCTGGGGATGGGCACACTCAACCATGCTCATGTTCCCAGTGGAAAGAAGGGAAGATGCCCTTCATCACAAGCAGGTACAGCTGTCTGTGCGCAGATACAGCAGGTGATGCTGAGGACATGGCTTATCCAGTGTCTGACTCGCTTGCGCTTGTATGTCATTGTATGAAATGCATGAAATGCATGGCTGAGCCGAGATCTGGAATGATAGATTTCTCATCAAATGTAAATAGTTGCATGAGGCTCTGGCCATTTGTATGATAATGCAGTGGGAAGTTACATGATTACTGAATTATAGCTCATCAAAGAGCCGATCTCTGAGCTCCAGGCCAGTTCTGATAATACTCAGATCTCATAACACACACACACACACACACACAGATCAATGGCTCAGTCAAAATGGGTGAGTGTGGAAATGAATGGAGAGATGAAACAAAGTTGTGTCTTATAATACTCAGTAAAGCAGTAGCTAAAATAAAAAATAAAATAAAATATGTATTTCAGATCAAATGTATTTTATGTCATTAAAGCCTGCCTAAAGATTTTTTTCCAGATTATTGTAGTTACTGACCAAGGAAAACAACCCCTTGATCTAAACACTAGGGAAAAAACAAGAAAACGAAGTCAAACCCCATTTTAGGCAATTTAGAAATCCCAGCCAGGACATGTCTGGGAAAAAGAGGACATAGGGTCACCCAAACAAACGATGGTAGAGTTTTTGGGGAATTATTTGAATACTATTTTGATTTTGCAGTTCCTTTTGGTGCCAGTAGAGCAGAAATGGTTTTGTTGAACATGTGATGCAAGGATATTGTAATATATGTTAAGTGACTGACTGTTTCCCCTTCTCTCTCATGAGTGGCAGTAAATCCAGCACTTCTGGCCTGCATCATCATCACATGCTCATTGGCTGCTCATTAGCATCAGTGAGAGCGTGTCTGTTTGCAGAGTCTCACTTCATCAAGCACATGGATCCATTAACACTCAAACACACACAGCAGGCCCAGCGTCACACATCACACCAATGGCTCATAAAGTCAACTTGCATTAATATGATGTAGGCTTTTCCCTTCCCCCTTTACATTTCCATCCTGTAGCTCCTGTCTACGCTACAATGTTTTGATTATGTTTATGACCATGAATAAAACAACTTTCTTAGCTCTTAAAATGAAAAGTGCTGGTTCAGCTAAAATGCAGAGCAATTCAATGAGCAATGTAAATGATCCTATTCTTAAATCGGTATCTTTGTCTTGCTTTCCTTGTTGTCCTGTTTGGACTCTCATTGTGACGGCACCCATTCATTGCAGAGGATCCACTGGTGGTGAGCAAATTATGTAATGCTAAATTTCTCCAAATCTGTTCCAGTGAAGAAACAAACTGGCCTGAGGGTGAGTAAATTGTCAGCAAATTCATTTTTAGGTGAACTATTCTTTTAAAATTCAATTATGTATTATGTCATGTAGGCTTGACAAATGAAGACTAGCTTGACCATGCATAAAACTTGTGCAGATTGATTATAACTGCATATGTAAAGACGCTTATTGAGGAGGTAAATATTTCAGTCGCCCTGTCTGAAATGAACACATATATGAACAAACAAACAAGACATCATTGTGTTAGTGTTTCTCTCTTGATAAACGACGAGTCTCCTCTCTTATAATTTCACTCAAACTTTCCTGTCCCATCCCAGAACTGCTAGGCTACATCTTTTATTCAATACACACAATCTCTGCCTGTCTGATGTGGACTGTGAAACATCCGGCTTAGATATGACAGGAAATATATTTTCTTTCACACAAACAACAGGTTTACAGATGTGTTACGAGAGATTCCTATGTGTGATGTATCATAGCCCGTAATATATGAGGCACAAATCCCGCCAGCAGCTCATGAAAAACATGTACTGTCATACTAATTTTAGTATGTACATGTTAATTTCTACATTCTACATTTACATTTTTACCATTTCAAGTTGTAAAAATTTACCTTAATTAATGTATTATGAACAGACAAGAATGAATGAAAAACTGCATATTTGTTATTATTATTATTATTATTATTAATAAACAATACATTTATTGAACTGTTATTTAAAAATTAACCCAGATTCATAAATAATGTGAAAATATTTTGTTTATTGTTAATTCATGACACCTAATGGATATGAAACCTTATTGTAAAGTGTGCATTGTTGTTGTAAAGTTTTCTTATCCCAGGAGGTTTAGTGGCTTAAAAAAGTGACCCGATTTATTTTCAGTGTCTGGTAAACAGAGGTGTAACATCGACCCGGCACAGGCAGTCTGAAATCTGGAAAAGCACACTAGAGGTGTGTCTTCTATTTTTAGAAAAGCATTCGACCATGCATCCTGTCTTTCCATCCGAGTCTCGGGGCTCTGAAAGCTCACCTAATGATGTCGATGTGTCCGTTCTTGGCAGCGAGATGCAGCGGGCTGGTGCCGTTGGGATCAGTCGAATCTCCAGGCTTGGGCTCCAATAGAGCTGCACACATGTTACTGCTCAGTAGCAGCTGGACCACCTGCAGAGCAAACAGATGATCATACACACACACACACACACAAAAGCCAACTAGAGACTGGAAAAAGATGTAAAAGTAATTTGACAGTAACCAAAAAAGCAGTGTGTGACTCACCCCAACCCGGCCGAATTCACAAGCCAGGTCCAGTGGGGTCCTCCCACCATTGTCCACTATGCAGGGGTTCGACTGATGCTGCAGAAGCATCTCAGACTGTGAACAGGTAATATAATATAATAATATACAAATATCACAACATTTTATCGTTACATGCATTTATTTATTTATTATTTTTCTAATTTATTTTATACAATATAGTGTAATTTTTTAATAGACAGTCTGTAAACAGCCCCACACTTCCCAGCTCTTTAGTGCCACACAAAACAATGACATATTTACATCCCATGTTTAAACATTTAAACAAAAACCAAAGTCTTTAAGAGAGAGAATAATAGCCACAGTATCTACTAAAACTGCCTCTTCACTAAGACTGTCTGTCTTCTTCCTTTCATTAAATGCATGTGTGTGGGATGCTCTAGCATCAAAGCATTTACTCGTCAGGTTCTGGTTCCAAGATGTCAGTATCCATAACCACATGTCAAATATTTTTTCATACACCGAGGCTCATATGGAGTCTTTGAACAACAGTGGGCATGGTGTTGTAGCAGTGTGTACTCACTACGTCATAGTGTCCGTGTTGAGCAGCCAGGTGCAGGGGGATCTGACCCTCATTAGATTGACCGTTCACTGAGGAGCCTGACTTCAGTAGCAACTTCATGGGCTCTGACTTTCCCTGCCATGCTGCATAATGCAGAGGCCGCATCCCTGGAACATGAAAAGAAAGACTTTTAATATTACTGCACTGCTAAATATACACATTAGAGTTACGCTTGTTTCAGGTTGTTTGGACGTGACATCCAAAGCAATACTGTACTTTTTTATCTGTGTGCCAAAACATGTCAAATACTTCATTTAAAGATGCCAATGTGAAGTAAAAAAATTACACTGATGTTTTTCTGGTACCTTTCTGGTCCCTGATGTCCACTATGGCCTGAGACTCCAGCAGCAGTGATATAACCTCCACATTTCCATTGAGAGCTGCATGGTGCAGTGGTGAAAATCTGCAAATAACACATAATAATGACATAAACAGGACGTCAGAATTTAATTAAGAATGCCAATTCCTTTATTGAATTTGAATTGAAAAATCATCAAACTGTTGTAAATGGAGCTTTTGGTCTTATTTTTCAGTATGAATCAGTATAAGGTTATCAAACAACAAGTGTGTGTGTGTGTGTGTACCTGGTATTTCCTACATTATGAGGACCAAATGTTCCCACAAGTATAGTAATACCAGTAAATTTTGAACTTTTTTGTTTTCCACGAGGAAACAAGCTTATAAATCACATATAATGAAGTGTTTTGAAAATCTAAAATAGCAGAAGGTTTCTGTGAGGGGTAGATTTAGGAGTAGGGTTAGGGTAACGGGATAGAAAATACAGTTATACAGTATAAAACTGTTACGTCAATGGAATGCTACCACAAAAAATGGAAACCAGTATGTGTGTGTGTGTGTGTGTGTCTGTGTATTAACTGTAATATACAATATATACATATAAAAAATACAGATAGGCATGCACACACACACGTGTATATATTTAGATATATATATATACAGTATATGACAAAAAATGACAATGGGATCATTAGGAATAACTAATCATTGTTTATTGATTTATAGTTGGCCCATAAGGTTATCAAACAACAAGTGTGTGTGTGTGTGTGTACCTGGTATTTCCTACATTATGAGGACCAAATGTTCCCACAAGTATAGTAATACCAGTAAATTTTGAACTTTTTTGTTTTCCACGAGGAAACAAGCTTATAAATCACATATAATGAAGTGTTTTGAAAATCTAAAATAGCAGAAGGTTTCTGTGAGGGGTAGATTTAGGAGTAGGGTTAGGGTAACGGGATAGATAATACAGTTATACAGTATAAAACTGTTACGTCAATGGAATGCTACCACAAAAAATGGAAACCAGTATGTGTGTGTGTGTGTGTGTGTGTGTCTGTGTATTAACTGTAATATACAATATATACATATAAAAAATACAGATAGGCATGCACACACACACGTGTATATATTTAGATATATATATATACAGTATATGACAAAAAATGACAATGGGATCATTAGGAATAACTAATAATTGTTTATTGATTTATAGTTGGCCCTGTTAATACAAAGACCAACAGCACTTAACAGATGTTAATGTCTCTTGCTCTCCTGATTTCTCCTGTGCCTCCCTTCAGCTAGACCACATCAACTGCCTTTACAAAGGACTATACTGGCGGACAACACTGTCAACCACATACACTCATTAACTTTCACAGAACTGAACATCTGAGGTTAATACAAGGAGCCTGTGTTTGAACTGCAACCTCATTCATCAATGTGCATGTGTCACTGTGTGTATGTTTGCTCAGCTGTTTTTGATAATAGCAAAGTCTGCCAGTGTAAGAACACGTGATTATATATGAGGCAGCAGATTGTGTGTGTCTGTTTGTATATACAAGATTGAATCATTCCATCTTGAATGCGGCACAAAAAACAGCTATGACTTTCCAAATAACAAACTCATACAGCTACAGTACATTCCAGTCTTCAACAGATAAAAACATTTCAGACTATTTAGAATATGCAGAAAATCACTGCCACTAAAGAACTTTTATTTATTTTAGTTTTTAATAAATCTATTGAAAATGTTTGTTCAGGGTAGTGGACAAATACTTCTATAATGAATATCCTTTATGTTCTTTAGTATTTTCCCACAATGCATTATGATTTAGCATGTCCGGAGTGCAGTAGGGTCCTGTGCTCTTAACCCAGTAGTGCAGACGGTTCTTCAAAGTGGCAGAGACAAAAAGCCCTCACTGGATTTTCTGTCACAACTCGCTCTCTGTGATTGGTGCATAAAATATGCAGTAACCATGGCTACGGTTGTGAGACTCTGGTTGTCAGTGCAACTGTGAACGTAAACCCTTGGAGTGTGGCGGCTCAGAGCAGAATACTAAACTCACAGGAACCCTGTCTGACCCATCTCTCCCTCTCTCACTGGCACTAGCATGCAGGTTTGCACTGTGCTGCTGCAGCAGAGCATGCTGGGGGATGGGCCAGAAAACTCCACTCTCCCCACCAAACGTCCCCCTTTTCCCAGGCTCCACATCACAAGCCATACAATATTCATTGTTCTCTTCACTTTGTGGCACTTTCTCTATTAGTAGGCCAGATACAGTAAGCCTCGTCTCTTTATATGCGTGTATGTCTTTCTCTCTCGTGTGTCACTACAGGGAAAGACAGAGGTGAACACATACACACATGCCGCCTGACCTACTTTTCTTAATGAGGGTACTACTAAAGCCCAAGGCGTTCCCTCCAAAGGAAGCACCATCAGCACTCCTCCATTCACTAAGCAGCATGTCTGATGAGATATTGTTTACCACCATCGTCATCATTATCATCATCACCATAATGAAAGAGAGTAAATACATTTAAAAAAATTATTAAAAGTAAACTGGGACATAAAAAGGACTAAAAGTGCTTCAGCTTTGCCATCACTGGAATTAATTACATTTTAAAACATATTAGAACAGTAATCAGTTATTTTGAATTGGAATAATATTAAAAAATATATATTATTTTACAGTTTTTTATTTTATTTTAAGTGACATAAGTAACTTTAAAACATATTACCAACTAGGGTTGCATAAAGGTGGAACATTTCCAGTACATTTCGGAAACATTACAGAAATTTAGTAAACTTACCAGGATTTTTTCGAATATTCCAGGGATTTTTGGAAAGTTTCCGGAAATTTACCGGACATTTATCACCCTTTTGCAACCCTATTACCAACCACAAACTTTTAAACAATAGTGTATATACATAATAACAAATGAAATATTTGAAATATGTGAAATAATTGTATTAAAAAAATTATATAGTTAGATGTATGTGAGATGATAGATAGATAGATAGACAGATAGATAGATAATGCAATCTAATATTAGAATAACTGTTGAGCCCTCAAGTCATAAGGTAGCAATTATAACTACTTTTGATTATTCATAACTATCAGTGGACTCACAGCTATATAAACTCACTAAACTTGTCTGCACCCTCTTTGAAATGTCACAGTTCTAGCAAGAATTGGCAGCTCTGTTACATAAACAAAAACTACCTCTTAATGTGTTACAGCAGAGCCATGAAACTACATGCTCTAGAGACTGTATATTGACCTTCACATTTCACTGTTAATTTCACTGCTACTCATCCATCAGTGATCTCACACACTTGGTTTCTGGCAGCTACATCAGTTGGATCATGGGTAATAATCCAGGCACATCTAACGCTCTACTGGCTCCTCTGCCTCTTAAACATTTATCTCCAACAAAATGCCATCAAACAAGACAATCATCTGTGTCAGTGCTGGCAATATCCGTCTCGGAAATATCTCAGCTCTAATGTTTCTCAGTTGTTCTTTCTCCATGACTTTTTTTTTTTAATGAAGGCAAGTTTCATATCGTTTTATTAAAGGGGGAGGCAGCAAATGACAGGCTCTTCCTTGCTCATAAATCAAATTCCCACCATTGCTCCTCTAGTGCTCCCATTTAAGGGAATGATCTCAGATTAGAAAGAACATTAAGAAAGTGCTTCAGCTTTGCCATCACTGGAATTAATTACATTTTAAAACATATTAGAACAGTAATCAGTTATTTTGAATTGGAATAATATTAAAAAATATATATTATTTTACAGTTTTTTATTTTATTTTAAGTGACATAAGTAAGTTTAAAACATATTACCAACTAGGGTTGCATAAAGGTGGAACATTTCCAGTACATTTCGGAAACATTACAGAAATTTAGTAAACTTACCAGGATTTTTTCGAATATTCCAGGGATTTTTGGAAAGTTTCCGTAAATTTACCGGACATTTATCACCCTTTTGCAACCCTATTACCAACCACAAACTTTTAAACAATAGTGTATATACATAATAACAAATGAAATATTTGAAATATGTGAAATAATTGTATTAAAAAAATTATATAGTTAGATGTATGTGAGATGATAGATAGATAGATAGATAGACAGATAGATAGATAATGCAATCTAATATTAGAATAACTGTTGAGCCCTCAAGTCATAAGGTAGCAATTATAACTACTTTTGATTATTCATAACTATCAGTGGACTCACAGCTATATAAAATCACTAAACTTGTCTGCACCCTCTTTGAAATGTCACAGTTCTAGCAAGAATTGGCAGCTCTGTTACATAAACAAAAACTACCTCTTAATGTGTTATAGCAGAGCCATGAAACTACATGCTCTAGAGACTGTATATTGACCTTCACATTTCACTGTTAATTTCACTGCTACTCATCCATCAGTGATCTCACACACTTGGTTTCTGGCAGCTACATCAGTTGGATCATGGGTAATAATCCAGGCAAGAAACTGCAGAGTTGCAGTTCAAGAAATGAAAAGTCATAATTAGCTGATTGGGTTTAGACAGAAGAATTAAGGCTTTATTAATGCTCACGGAGCATGGTAATGAATTCAATAAAAGAACAGCATCATTAATCCTGCCACTGAGTCGCAGCTGCCCAAACTGTGTGTTTTGAAGACATCAGCAGGTTTATAGATTAGGTTGTTTTTGATCCTCAGCATTACACACATTGTTCATTAAAAAAAATTGAGCATCATCATATGGCTGAGCTAAAGCTGCATGTTTAATTCGAGAACTACTGCTCATTTCATGTGGTAGTGACATAATAATGACATGACAATTAACCTGTTTTTGTTTTTTAAACAAATCTTTTAAGTGAACAAACCATTCTCATTCATTTTCGTACACTGACACTTATTTATTATTCACTTAAGTCTATCACTTTTGAAGCCAATGAGACCTTGGTGGCTAGAAAACATTATGATTAAACATTATAAAACTGTCTTTTATATCTTGAAGTCACACTCAACAGTTCACACAATGGAGGAAAAATGACAGATCTGCTTTGTTGTCACCCAAATGATGTTGTTGATTTTAACAAATCAA